GTTAAATGAAGGTTGATTTTAAAATATCAGTTAGTGAAAGTGATGTTGATGTTGACGAGATGGAAATGAGAGCACAAACTGTTTGTGCTAATCTTTTGCCACCAAAATCAAAACAGAGGTATGCAATTACATACCAGAAATTCATTAAATGGACGAAACAAAATAAGGTTAAATTGATAAATGAAAATGATCTTCTGGTTTATTTTGAAAACCTCTTAACCACTTTTTCACCCAACTCGTTGTGGACCACATATTCGATGCTGAGATCAAACTGTAAATGAACTGTTTCACTATATTATTCAGTTGTCCAAAAATATATGCAATATTTCCCTAATTGTACCTGATACAGTATTTATGGTAAGAATGCTAGCAGAACCTATTGCCTGAAAAAGAAGTTTTACAAACACGTAATTACATGAAATCAGCTGATTATACAATAAGTCGTTGCATCACTTTCAGTGACAATGGCAATAAATGAAAACACAACCTCTCTAGGAAGTTATGAGTAGTGATTGTTAGGAATAAAAAACCAGATATTTAGTAATTAAAAAACGGTCGTAGGTAAAGTAGTGTACGCAACTTGCGTTAATAGTCTTTACGACACTAGTAGAAGTTTTTAAGGCACTCGCCAAGGCTCGTGCCTTAAATTTTCTACTCGTGTCGTAAAGACTAACTTAACGCAATCGTTGCGCAAACTACTATTACATCATACCTGCTACATTGACACCTGATCGATGTAATTTATTGCATAAATCATTGCCATTGGGGATTTAGGTGGAATTGGCAGAATTAGAACCCGCGGATGCAGGCCGGAAGACAGGCTAAACCAATGCAATTTTACTCATTAGGAATCCTGGCAAATTGTTAAAAAATTAACTTCCAATGGTACAAAGCTTAAAACTATTAAGCAGGTTTCAATATTTTGCCCTACATTGATGCGACGATTTACTTCACGGAAAAGCGTAGAAATTTCTTTATATATGTTTAAATAGATTAGTGTTCGCCTTCGGGTCGAATACTTGGCCAAAATATGTATTGTGCAAATTACTCTATTTTCACCCCACGCTGTAAACCAAACATGTGATTGGAATTTCTTCATTTTTTTAAATTTTTTTAAATATTTATTTGTTATTTCGTCACCAGCATGGCAACCCGTAAGGCCCATATAATTTTTTTTTATTTTAAATTAATCTGTTATGCTCATTTTTGTCTGTTTTTATTTTATAAATGGATTCTAAACATCTACAGGCAAATATTTTCATTTAGTATGCGAAGATTTTCCCCCGTGCTGAGAAAAAAGTTTTAAAGAAACACTTTTGCCTATTAATATATAGATACCACCAGAGAAAATAATAGTATAGTTAATCAATATTTCTACTCGGATTTGAGTAAACTAACGTTTATATTGGTTGACATTTAACAATATATTTTGCTTCATTAAATTACATTATCTTAATAAAATAGTTTTACAAGAAACACAGTACAGTACGTACAGTACTATCTGATAGATCTTTTAAGTAAGTTGGATGGCTTTAAATATATCCGCACTTTCATCGAGATCAACATCGTTGCACTCCAAAAAGCCTTGTACATAGTTGCTATACACTACTGGTAATGATTTTACACATATTATGTATGCCATAAATTGTACACGTGATGGTTACTTGCAGTAATTTAAATGTTTTGGTGTTATGAGTAAATGTACCTATACTTCGCTGGTTAAACCATTTACACATTTAGCATTACATGTTAAAGCTCATAAACAGCAACACGCGACACGCAACATCGTTTATCACTTGTTAAGAAAGAAACAATTACAAGTGTTGTCGAATATGCGATTAGATTATTCATGCAATTGCAAGATTGAAAATTCCTTTTAGAAAATTACCTGTAAACTCATTTACATAATCAGTGTCAGTTCAAAAATCAGAGTATTATTCTTGGCAGTCCAAAATATCCAAATGTAAAACCCTTTGCTGCTACATTTTGTTTGAGATCTACTGAAGATACTTCCTAATACAGCACTTACATACACAATCTTCAAACATGCCAGCCACCTAAAGGACAAATAACAATCATTATAACTGATTTAGAAAGAACAATAGTGTTTGTAGTCTGTTGTATAGAATACTATAAGTATAAGTACCTCTTAAGATTAGTCATCCGGTTACTCATCCTAAAATTGACAAAACTTTGATAATTATCTTCTATTCTGCTTTACCATTGTTTAAACGCATTCCTTCATGGATTTATCATCATTACGTATCAGTGGTAATAGTTTTTATTAAATTGTCAAGTCCACTAATGATTGGGTATGTGGATGAGTTATATATATAGTAACTAGGATTGCTTTCATAGCAATGAAAGCCAGTTTAGCGGAGAAATAATGTTTCATGGTGTTTAATAAAGCAATAAATGAAAAAATATATTATAGATATACCTAATACAAAATACAAATGTTCCCACACTCTGCACCGCTAGCCTTTACTACCTCCTTCACCACTTCCTACGTGTTGGACCTGTTTCCTCCCCTTCCCATAACATTTAGTATTGCAGATACATTAATGTAACTGCCCCAAAGCGTTCCCACACTCTGCACTTCAAGCCTTTACTACTTCCTTCACCATTTCCTACGTCTTGGACCTGTTTCCCTCCCTTCCCAAAGTATTTTAGGATTACAGATACATTATTATAACTGCCACAGACGGTTCCCAAACTCCGGAATTCTCACCTTTACTACTTCCTTCACTACTTCCTACGTCTTGGACCTGTTTCCCTTCCTTCCCATAACATTTTAGTATTGCAGATATTTTAATGTAACTGCCACAAACGGTTCCCACACTCCGCATTACCAGCCTTTACTACTTCCTTCACCACTTCCTATGTCGTGGACCTGTTTAAGTTTGCCATTTATGAGATGAAGCCATGAAAGTGATTTGCCGATGAATTGTTTAAGATAAACTATTTTTTGTTATACCTATAACCTTATTTAGCTATGTATGTAAATCAAATCTGTTAAATACTGTTCCTAAAAAAGTATGTTCTATGACTGTACGAACCTATTTGATCAGTGGTCGTTTCCAAATAGGGACTTAAATGCAAACCTAAGACTTTCACTGTGGAATTTGATCAGTTGTCATCATCCGATTTTTTCCCTTTGTACTGTGTTTAGGTCGTGGCTTGATTTTAGCATATGCTATGATTCCTTGTTTTTTTTTTACATTTACCTCATTATTTTGTAACCATTATGGCAACCCATTAGACCAATGTTAAAATTTAAAAATTTGCAATTACTTTAAAACTTACAGGCATTATCAAAAATTGAAATTGGTTACGTCTAAACCATCCAAACATTTGACAAAACAACCTTGGCAAGTTTGGTTAAAATATGTTCAGTCGTTATTGAGATTAAGTGTTATAAGGATTTCATTGAAGTTGATCCCAAAGAGCCTCGCTTCGCTCCGCTCAACTAACCAGCTTTCAAATGTTCAAAAATGGTTAAATATACTATCTGGCCAGAATACTGTCTGTCCTCTGACATCAAAACACACGAGTCCTTACTCATGTGTTTTGATGTCAGGGTACAGACTCATGTTAAGGATTCATTTGCAACAAATATAAGCAATCATCTCTTGCAACAATTGTTAAATTAATTAGGAAATACATCATTTAGTCGATATCATCGATACTCAAGGGCAATAAACACAAAAAAATACCAAAACAAGCATTGGATTTTGAAACAGGGTGATAAGTCTATTCGCAGTATGTCCAAAGCTAATGATACCTCGTTTTCAGATCCATGCGAATTTTAGGTCTTATCCTTAGAATAAAGTTACATTTGCACCAGAATTTCATTTCTATCCACGTGAATGAGTGAGAAATGTATAATATCAATTCAGTTGAGTTCAGCGTGAAAAAAGTGTAGTCTACGTCACGTACTCCAGCAGATCGTGCTCATCTGGTATATAGTATCTTTGAGTATGCACGTAAACGTTTATCCGTTTTTAGAAAAAATACGATCCATGTCTAAAAGTTTTAACACTAATTTATGACATAGTTTAATAATTTTAACGTCCATAGTCTGACAATATTTTTACAAATTAATATTAGACTATTATTCCTTAATTGGGCCTCTATTAGGTTCTTGAAACGACTCCAACGCTTTAGCACTTTTTTTCAATAATATACCTTTGAACAGAGATGCACGTTGCATATTAAAATATTGAAAGATGTACATAGTAAATTTACTAGATAAATAACAGTAGGTAATTACAACAAAAAATTTTTTAAAAGCATATCATGTGCTGGTCCTGGTAAACTTAGGCCTAGTGGCCAGATCACGGCAAAATTCTTTCTTCGAGTTGGGTGGGATATGACCCACAAACCCCCTTGGCTACGCCACTGTGTCAAGAAAATGAGTTAGGAAATTGCGTTTTGACAGTAGCACACCCATTGAGAGGCGCCTTGCTACCAACATTCTACGTAAATACAAAATTGGCAGAAGATGTTCTACATAGCCTAGCTGGACTCACTGAATTTCTGACTTCCTATTAGAACAGGCCCACAATTATAAAATCCATCTTTATAAATTGCAAGAAGCATTTCATGTAACAATTGGGGAAACAACGTTTTTAGGGTATTTCGACCCTGCTGAGTACGAATCTGCCTGTTGACAAAGCGATATGAATAGGAAATGCGGTATCCAAGATGGTGGCCAAAACTGTTTGCCCCATATCTCCCATGTTAGTTGACCTAATATAATGGTTTAAACGTCTACATAGAGGTTTTCTCGGATGCCAAACACATTTCAACACTCAAAATTTACTTACATCAACTTTTAGGACATAAGTTCCTAATTACCGTTAAAACGCTGTTTCCCCCCATGAAATGCTTCTTGCATTGCCCTTTTTAAAAACGTGACTGATCTACATTTGTATATTGCATATATTTAGATTTTTTATAGGATTATGAGGTGTTTAATATTTTTTTGTGTTTGGTAGGTTCACCCGCCATGGTACAACCAGCCCTCGGAGCCGCCAGCCTGTGCCTACTGATCTTCCTACTTACTGGTGAGTATCGTGGACCAATCCATGTCATATTCACATACATTTTACGGCTTTGTACGAACTTTTCTTTAACGTAATTCGTAATGTTTCCATTCAAAATGCAACTGGTGTGGAATAACTTGTTAATTACCTTTTTGGTCTTCACTACGGGAGAGACGAGTTCAATCTTTCGAACATTCAAAACACATTATAATGGCTTGGACAGATTTCCCTTAAGACGATTGTATTTCCTTTATGTAATACATCTCATGGTATCCCTAGAATTAATTTCACAGCCACATGTATCTTACTTCAAGAAAACATAATTTAATCAAACAATTTGATTTTCAATTTAATATTGACATACATGTACTGTATATACATGATCAACGTTTTATAGTCGGCACGTTATTGAATGTTACTTCTATTAAATTATAAATTAATAAAACCACTACCGCAATTCATTTATCCTTTCAGGATGACAGTACGTAAGACAGTCATACACTGTTTGAAAGTGTTATTTCTAATTTTACCGTGAATACCAAAATACTGTTTTAGTTAATAGAAGCAATAGGTAAAATATTTCTATATCAACGTGTCCATATAAACTATATGAAACCACATGAACTGGAACTCCTAATCGTAGAATTATTACCTGGCCTATACTACATTATAGTACTACCATACTGCTCTTAAGTTAGGTTTATTATTAGTCCTATTAAATTGTGTAACCGACTGTAGAAAAAGCTGATAACTCGGTTGTTTGTGAGCCGATTTACAAACAAGGTCTAATTTGATTTGTATTTAAATTCGCTACATCTTTTTTCACCAGAAAACAGTTTTCTTAATGTTTAAGGTTTTCATGAAAATTTGCAATAAATATTTTAAATGGCCGCCATATTAAAACGGCTTTAAATATTGGAATGGCAATTTTTAAGCTCTTCTGACCTATACTTCTAAACTTCACATTTATACCGATTTTGAAATCTCTATTATATTGAAAAATGCCCAAGATATAAAATAGTTTTTACGAATCATAAACTGACCAACAGACAGAAATCTGGGCATTTTAGACCCATACTTATTCGGCATTTTATGTTTGTCTTAGCCCAAAGAACATGTCCACAAACAAATGCAGGGATTTTAAATTTTAATTGCTTGGGTACTATTCAAGGTAACTAAACGTTTTATACGTCAAATAGAAGCTAAATAACTTTCCGCTAAAATTGTGTTTCCCGTGTAGCAAGGGAGGAAACTTTGAACTCTAGGCCGTCATTGCGACTCGCACGCCTGACGCCGGACGCCAGAACGACGTTTACGCGTTTACGGTGCAATAGAAGCCACAGTGTTTAATCTTTGGTTCGCAGAGTTTAAATTGATTGGTAAATTGAACTCAATTTAAATCTATTTGATAATAAAGAAATGTTGCGTTGGTTTAATGGATTTCGGGGCACCGTATTGTTTTGAAAGGACATTCACTTGGCCGTCTAAAAACAAGTAATGACTTAGTAGAAGAAAGCTGACAGTTCTGCATCAGAAGTCCGGAAAAAAACCATTGCCAAACGAAGTCTTCAGTTTAACATACCTAAATCTTCAATTCATGATGTTATCCGTATAAGATTAAGTCAATTGTGCCTACAAAATTCAGTTAAGACATCAGATAAACCCGCCAATCCCCCTAAGCGTAGAGACTTTGCCAGTTTTACACTCATATGAGATTGATAAAAATCTTAATCTTATTAAATGAATCCATATTTTGTCATAATATGAGAAAAATGTTGTTCTTTTCCCTTTAATTTGACGTTTAAATAGTTTAATTATATTTTAATAGTCCCCGAGCAACGGCCGTTTAAAATCCCTGCATTCGTTTATAAACTCCCAGTATAGTTGAGTACCAATACAAGAAAATATTCACATTCAACTTCCCTGCTCTTGTTAGCCTTCCCTGCTCTTGTTAGCCTTCCCTGCTCTTGTTAGCCTTCCCTGCTCTTGTTAGCCTTCCCTGCTCTTGTTAGCCTTCCCTGCTCTTGTTAGCCTTCCCTGCTCTTGTTAGCCTTCCCTGCTCTTGTTAGCCTTCCCTGCTCTTGTTAGCCTTCCCTGCTCTTGTTAGCCTCCCCTGCTCTTGTTAGCCTTCCCTGCTCTTGTTAGCCTTCCCTGCTCTTGTTAGCCTTCCCTGCTCTTGTTAGCCTTCCCTGCTCTTGTTAGCCTTCCCTGCTCTTGTTAGCCTTCCCTGCTCTTGTTAGCCTTCCCTGCTCTTGTTAGCCTTCCCTGCTCTTGTTAGCCTTCCCTGCTCTTGTTAGCCTCCCCTGCTCTTGTTAGCCTTCCCTGCTCTTGTTAGCCTTCCCTGCTCTTGTTAGCCTTCCCTGATCTTGTTAGCCTTCCCTGCTCTTGTTAGCCTTCCCTGCTCTTGTTAGCCTTCCCTGCTCTTGTTAGCCTTCCCTGCTCTTGTTAGCCTCCCCTGCTCTTGTTAGCCTTCCCTGCTCTTGTTAGCCTTCCCTGCTCTTGTTAGCCTTCCCTGATCTTGTTAGCCTTCCCTGCTCTTGTTAGCCTTCCCTGCTCTTGTTAGCCTTCCCTGCTCTAGTTAGCCTTCCCTGCTCTAGTTAGCCTTCCCTGCTCTTGTTAGCCTTCCCTGCTCTTGTTAGCCTTCCCTGCTCTTGTTAGCCTTCCCTGCTCTTGTTAGCCTTCCCTGCTCTAGTTAGCCTTCCCTGCTCTAGTTAGCCTTCCCTGCTCTTGATAGCCTTCCCTGCTCTAGTTAGCCTTCCCTGCTCTTGTTAGCCTTCCCTGCTCTTGTTAGCCTTCCCTGATCTTGTTAGCCTTCCCTGCTCTTGTTAGCCTTCCCTGCTCTAGTTAGCCTTCCCTGCTCTTGTTAGCCTTCCCTGCTCTAGTTAGCCTTCCCTGCTCTTGATAGCCTTCCCTGCTCTAGTTAGCCTTCCCTGCTCTAGTTAGCCTTCCCTGCTCTTGTTAGCCTTCCCTGCTCTTGTTAGCCTTCCCTGCTCTTGATAGCCTTCCCTGCTCTAGTTAGCCTTCCCTGCTCTAGTTAGCCTTCCCTGCTCTAGTTAGCCTTCCCTGCTCTAGTTAGCCTTCCCTGCTCTAGTTAGCCTTCCCTGCTCTTGATAGCCTTCCCTGCTCTAGTTAGCCTTCCCTGCTCTTGATAGCCTTCCCTGCTCTAGTTAGCCTTCCCTGCTCTTGTTAGCCTTCCCTGCTCTAGTTAGCCTTCCCTGCTCTTGTTAGCCTTCCCTGCTCTTGTTAGCCTTCCCTGCTCTTGTTAGCCTTCCCTGATCTTGTTAGCCTTCCCTGCTCTTGTTAGCCATTTTGTAAATTTGAAACAACTTACTTTACGAGGCAGTTAAATCATTCACACTTTAAGCATGCCATGTTTAACCTCATAAACCCAGCGACACGCAATGTCGTTTATCACTTGTTAAGAAAGAAACAATTACAAGTGTTGTCGGAAATCCGATTATGGGTTTTTATGGTTTTTTATTGGTTTATGGGTTTGCTAAGATTAAAACCATCTTCTAATAGGGAAAATTACATCTTTGATATTGTGTTACGGGGGTTCCAAATTGAACAGATTCCTTTTATACTAAATTATTTTATTGCAAAATATAATTTGAATTTGCCAAAATATCGAAAAAAAATGTAAATAACGATATCAGTTTTGAAATTCAAGTTACAGTTATTACGAACTATTTTCTTTTATACGCATAAATTAATCTTAGACCCTCAAATACTTGAAACAACATGGATGAAATAAAATCGGTCGATTCTTGAATTGTTTGGAATAGCAGAATGTATTACATTGACAATAGTTAATACTACTTTGAAGTAATCATAATATTCTTTATGAAAAGCTTTAGCTACGTGTAACATCAAGTTTTATTAGTAACAAAAACAGTGTGGTTAAAATACAGTTTTATTAATACCTTAACCACTTGTAAATCATACATTCAAAAAACATTAAAAATACTGCAACCTATAGCATATTTATGTCTCCTATGAACTCATATAGTAAATAACAGTATATATTCAATGGTGGTTATACTATTAAACATGATGACAAAATTATTCAATAATTTATCTGAGTAAAAACATGACTTGGATACTGCTAGTAGAAGGGAATTAAATTATTTTTCTTAAGTGTAATAAGTTGCTCGATTTGATAATTTCAAATGCATAGGAAAATTGCTTCCTAAAAAAGGAGCAAGGAAACCTTTAATTATGTAAACCAAATTCATATTATCTTTACTCATGCCACACGTCAAGTTAAACCCTGTAATTTTAGCGGATTACAAGCAAGTGTATGTGTTTAGGTTACAAACACTTGAGATTTTGAAATACAATGAGAAGTTTACTTGTATTGTTCAAAGTAAGTAGATTACACACTTAACAAAAAATGCATCTGATAAAATATCAAATTCTAAAAAATGTTTCTTAAGGGAACTATCATAAGCCCGAGTAAAAAATGAATTTGTTAGCTAACTGATAAATGGGAGTTTTTTTGTTATAATTTGTATTCATTGTCCATAGAAAAAAACGTTTAATTGAAAAGAGAAAGCACAGGAGCCAGTATAAAACGTCCTTTCTACAGAGTGTGTGGAAGTGTCTTTTACTGTTGATTGTTTCCCTCATTCAGTCCACGCGCTACGACCTTCTCTAACACTTTTATATCCCTCTTGAAATGTCTAACCAGGGCAATGTTACTTTCCTTTCTCCCGTAATAGTCTGATATACAAATAGTTAATAGTAAAAAACTTATTACATTGGTGTAAATACCTACTTCGTAGCTGTTACGAATAAAACTGATAAAAATGATGAGTATTCAGTGAAAGTGAATTTCAATATTTTATTTGAACCATTTAACATCTATATATACAGGGTTAGTAAAAAGTGTGGAGACCCCATGTTATTTTTTTAACGGCCCATACTAGAAAAACTAAACTCGGCACACATTTATGGCATGTTTTGAAGTACTTTTTGGGTATAACCGCCACTTGGTGTACGTACATCCCCAAAATGGGGGATTTTGGGGGAAACTCAAAAATTTCAAACACAAAGACGCATCGAGTGACCTCCTTTTGAAGGTCCTGGTAAAATAAAACCAACAACGCAAACTAGAGGTCTCTATCTCAATCCAGTAAAAAATGGCAGCCAATTCAAACTCTCAGAAGTTAAATTTAACTTACAGCTTTCCAAGTCTGGAGACCCCCTGTAAATTCTGTAACGGTTCACACTAGGAAAACTAAACTCTACCTTTTAGAAACCTTTAAAGTTCCCTTTCCAGATTCGTTTACATTATCGTCATATGGATAATTTGCATTACTTTTTAATGAAACAGCTGTTAATATTTAAATTGTATTTTATACAACACATATGACTGAGTTTGTCAAAAAGAAGTATTTGCAATGTAATTTTCTGATTTTAAAATTTATTTTGTTTTGCATCATCTCATGTTTTGCAATATAACGTTCCATTACGAAATTATGGGAAAAATCTTAACATTACAATAACTCTTAAAAGGATTTCTTATTGAATTATCTTATACAGTTTGGTGTCTACGTTTTTGACCACTTTTGCCAATATTTTGTCATAACAAGACAGATCATCATAGGTTCATGAGATTATTTTCATACATGTTTTCAATTATTGGAAAATATTTCGATTGTGTAATACAATACAAAATAATACAAGTGCAGAAGGGCACGTTGCCCATATGAATTGTAGTCAAAATCAACACCTAAAGTACATAATAGTATATTTTTTTCTTAGACTAATTTGATTTGAAAACTAAGAATCAGATAGAAATAAATTGCTTCCGTAATAAATGACGTAATGCATCTATTATATCACCACATGAGATGAATTACTGATAGTTCCCAGCAACTATCATAATTGCTGAACCCTGTAACATCACAGGGGTAGTCACATCCACTTAATTAACAAACAAGCTGTACTGATTGTAACGTCATTACAAACAACGCTCCACAGTTGATGAGTAGTCAACTGTAATGCATATTATCTCATACTGCAAGTAATATTACTGTCATTAGTGTTACCATGACGACAACAACCCAACCCCTAAAGTGAGTGGAGGTGAATTTTGCATAGGTAATTTACCATATAAAATATTTCTAGTTTGAAATGGTGTTTTATGAAAAATGCGGCTATAACCTATTTTTCTATGGAATTTATTACCTTTATTATTACTGATTATTTCAAAACGGAGCTAAACAATGATTTCGTCAATGTTGTAGTAGGGTTGTCTTCTTTAGGATGACATTACTATGTTGAAATCTAAACTCAGTTTCTTTGACGTATAACAAGTGTAAAAAAAAACAGTTATTTTCACGAGGTTGTAGGTGGTTCCCACTAAAACAAAATTTTTAAGTGGAACTGACTTATATTCTTGGAGTGAAAGCTTTTAAACCCCTATTTAAAACTATGGAGTGAGAAAGGCTGATGTATAGGCACACACAATTTTCAGAGTGAATTTAAGTAGATACACGTACTTTTATTTGACCAAGATTAAGGATGTAATATCAATAATCTAGAATATTTTTATGTTTTACTTATAAAATGATTCTAACGACTTTTGAACGTAGAAATAGCTTAGACACTATAAATACGTAAATAAAAAACCTGTAAAAAATAAGTGAAAACTAAAAATTTATTAACTAAATCCAGATGCATATATACCAGTAAATATTTGCGATAGTTTAAAACGTACCATAGCACTCAATGTAATATCATAAATCATAATCGTGTAAAATCAGAGTAATGGTTTTTCATAACATCATAAGTGCTTTGCCATGGCTGACAAGTAAAACGGTTAAAAATAATTGAAAAATAATATGGTTAAGTTGAAAATAATGAATGGTTTAACCTTTTAAAATAATAGTATTATTAGACAGAGATAATTTGTGTGAGTTCTGTGTCGGTAGTCTGGTCTATGGAAACGTATCATAAAAGTAAGAGGTGCTATTCACAGGCAACAAACTTGGTGCTGAGTTCATATCCACGTTGTCTAATATTGGTACTCTCATGTAATTAGTTAACTCACGACTTTAAATAAAGCAAAGGTACGGAAATGTAAACTGAACGTGTAGATTGTAGATCCTAGCATGTAGTGCTTCCTCAACGTATATCACTCCTGTTGCAGAGTGTGGGTGTAGAGGGTTCTACATAGAGTTGAAGGCTCCAAGATATGGAACTGGTCAACAAAAGAACCAGCTTATCTGATGGAAAGACTGGTCTCCCGCGATGGGTTCCACGTAGAGTTGAGGGCTCCAAGGTATGGTTGCAGGGTTTGGGTGTAGATGGGTCCACGTAGATTGAGGGCTCCAAGGTACGAAAATGTAAACTGAATCTATAGATCTACTCAACGTATATCACCCCTGTTGCAGGGTGTCGGTGTAGAGGGTTCCACGTAGAGTTGAGGGCTCCAAGGTACGAAAATGTAAACTGAATCTATAGATCTACTCAACGTATATCACCCCTGTTGCAGGGTGTCGGTGTAGAGGGTTCCACGTAGAGTTGAGGGCTCCAAGGTACGAACATGTAAACTGAATCTATAGATCTACACAACGTATATCACCCCTGTTGCAGGGTGTCGGTGTAGAGGGTTCCACGTAGAGTTGAGGGCTCCAAGGTACGAACATGTAAACTGAATCTATAGATCTACTCAACGTATATCACCCCTGTTGCAGGGTGTCGGTGTAGAGGGTTCCACGTAGAGTTGAGGGCTCCAAGGTACGAAAATGTAAACTGAATCTATAGATCTACTCAACGTATATCACCCCTGTTGCAGGGTGTCGGTGTAGAGGGTTCCACGTAGAGTTGAGGGCTCCAAGGTACGTGTCCTTCGGCAACTCTGCGCTCCTCAAGTGTGACTACAGCGTCTCAGAGGACGAGCTTCACAAGGTTGAGTGGCTCCATCAGGGTCGCAAAATCTGGCAGTACGTCAAGGGTCGCAGCCCTCCCTATAGGAACTACACCACATTGGGCTCCATCATTGATGTGAGTATTACATCAACACCATAGAGTATGTAGTATAATAGGACACATATACCCGTAACCTTCTAGATTTTAAGTATATGACCACCTATATAACAATTATCATAATTAGGTCTAAACAAACTTGCAACATTTAATGTCATATTATTCTTTGTTCTACAGCAGACTACAATGTGTAGTAATATTTCAATTTTTGAAATAAATTTGAATTTATATAAGCCAGAGCTTGTTAGTCAAAATTGAGCCCTGTCACATTTTTGTCACGTTATATTTATACCGTAACTTGAGTAAGTGTTAAAATTAATTCCAAAGGGTTATGTACATTTACATATACATACATACTAACATATATGTAAGTAAATGTAAAGAAACAACTAAGGTATATGTTAGTTGGCATTCACCTCGGTAAGTAAATAAGGAAACCTTAAGTCTTTAATTTTGGTTGATGTAAAAGAAATTGAAACCCAATCACTTATCATTTTACCCAAGTTTTGCCTACCTTAAAGTCTTCAATTGCGATTGACATGAAAGAAATAAGAGTACAATAGGTTTAAATTTTACAAGCTCTGCCACCTAAAGTCTTTTTTTTTTTGTTGATGTACCGTAGGTGGCACGGTAAGACCTAGCTAGACCCGGGACAAATATGATTTTTCATTTGAATGTCCCCAGAGGCCAAAAACACAATTTGTTCAAATTTGTATATCTGTATATATACATAAATATGTGTGTGTCCGTGAAAGCAATATGTTGACTAATTTTGGTCCAATTTTGATTAAATTTGGCTTGAAGGTGTAGGGGTGATGTACTTGAATGAGTTCGCGAACCAGCATGATTGGACCATGGGATTCCCCATGGGATGGAAATAAGGTTTTCTTATTTTCGACCCTGCAAACAAAAATTCCCAATTTCTCTCTAAACCATGTTGAGAGCTTAAAAAACAAACAATGTAGTATATTGACGTGCTATCATACGGTAATTAGTAACATATATAATTAAAAAGTTGTAGATTTAAAATTTCCATGTTATTTTTATTGAAAATAAGTAAACTACAGTAAACTCAAATAAGTTGTTAGTAAGTATCAGTAAATAGGTTGTAGCTGGCTTGTTTAAATTTGTTCAATCAAAATTGGCAAATTTATTTATTTTATACTAAGCTATATTTAACCAAAACTTGTTTAACCTAATGTTATTAAAATGGATCTAAGTGGAAATCCAATCAGGCAAATTTAAATTTTCTTAGTCTGCAGGTTTGCTGCGGTGGGGGTATTTTTATCAGTCAAAGGCATAACCGTAGTTGGTTCTACTCTATGGACCCGCTCATGATTGTGTCTATGTTGGTTACAGTTATCACTGAGTGACCGACATCAGGTGCTGTTGACGAACCTCAACTTCGACGCCAGCGGCATCTACACGTGCGAGGTATCTACAGAGACGCCCATCATCTACACCAAGCCTTCAGAGGAGCTAGAGATTACTGTCATCAGTGAGAGCTCAAGATACATTTATTGCACATTTGTTACTTTTAGGGATCAGTTGAAGACGATTTCAGAATTAGTTCCGTCCGTTTAATGTAGGGTCTTGTTATGCTTAAATTTTGATTCTTGTTATTTCAGTTAAAACTTAGTTTATCGAAATAAATCGATCCAACTATAAATAATAGCTTGTCCTCTGGCACACACAGTAAAGCAAAACCCTTACAATGAGCTCTAAAATGCGCGATTCGAACAAACTAAAGAACTGATGTATCGTATGAGAACGATTGGTAGAAACCGCCAACATAGAAACTTCTCATCTATCTATGAGGAGGTTGTTACTTATCGTTGGTTGAAGTATCTTATTTACCGTGCGTAATGGTAGGTTAGTTTATTGTGCTACCATAGTCTAAGCTGATGGTCGTGAATTTACATGGTTAACAAACCTGAGCTATAGCCAGGTGACTAATTACGCAAATCGCTCTTGTTATTCCTTGATTTCACGGGCTTTTTACACGGTTGAGCTAAGCTATTACTCCTATCTATGTTATTTTATTAAAAATTATCTATTTTATGCAGTTTCCTAACCAAAGCTTATACATACTTCTATCAATTTGAATTACGCAATGACTCACGCTCGATCCTTCTCACATCTCACAGTAAAAAGCGTTGTATGAGTATACAAAGAACACTCCTATAGAGTCACGTCCCAGTTTAGTCTCTTGGCATTCTTTTTAATTAAAAATTTGGTTAACACGTCAACCAAGCTGCTGTATTTCTTTTATCTTCATGTTTTTTGAGGTTAAAAGGTAGGTTTTTTTATTATTTAAGGGCCAAGAAAGTAGAGGTTGGTCGACCAACATAATGCTTAGAAAGACGGACAGGTTGATCAAAAGATTTAGAAAAGTTCACATAAAATCTCCAAACACAAAGAGAATCTTCCGGTTTCTTTACCGATTCAAATGTCTAGACTAATATTGATATTTATGGTATTAAATTATGGTTTTACTTTTTTACTACCATAAATTATTAAAATAAGAAACAAGTAAAATACCGGTGTATTAACAAAATGCCCGTCAAAGCGTTTTTCACACGTATCGATAAAAATATAAAGCAATAAATGTAACTGGAACAATAGTTTTAAGTAAGGAATAATTGCTCCCCACGGAATAGCGATAAATTTAGGTTTATCGTGAAATATTTTACGATCATGGTAGGACTATCTTTCTCTTGGGCCTTGTCAGTGTAGTCTCTTATGATTAGTAGCATTACGAATGTAAAACAATCAACTGTATTGTATTTTAACATTTATTTCGTCTTTAATTAAAAAAAATAGAGCGGATGACAGAAGTATACATCAATCGCATGCAAATTTTAACACATGATAATAATTTTTTGGGGAAAACATGAATTAGGGGACAATTTTAGATCCCGTAGGCTTTTCGTTGTTTGACACCTTTTACCAGCTGTCCTAGATTATTGTGCTTTATTCCGGACAAAGAAACATCAGAGTAACAAAGCTACACATTGTATCTCAGTTTGGTTTCCATTAATATTTGGGATACAATACACCTTAACCAAGCCCATCTCCTAATAGTGAAACAGTGTTACAAATGTCATCGTTCCTGTATAATGCGCATCCATGCAGTACTACAATAGAATCAACTAACGTTCGTGTGACCAGATTGTTGTAGAATCGACTAACCATAAAGGTGATAGAACTAATAGCCTTGATTAACAAAATACAAAAAATGATCCTATTTTCTCCTCTTTTGGTTTCATTCCAACCACACTAAATTTATTCATCAGAAGTTTTTCATAAGCGAGTTTAAGCTGGTGAATAAATTAGTTTTTCAAAGCTCCAGCTTATCCCTTGATTAAAACCCACTTTACTGGTAAATTGGTTAATGCAAATGTTTGCAGTAAAATGCTTTTAATGTAAAAGCACCTGACTGTGTTTGCTTAAGCGCCACACGCGCTTTTTGCTTGTTACAGTATCTCTCACGAGCCACCTTAATTAACTTGTATATTATCGTCCTATATACATCTAAAAAATGGATTTAGATTATAGTTAAAATCTTTATAAATAAATGTTTCAACATTCACCTCTGTTAAAAGTCTTTGTTGTTATGTTATGAGTTTTTTCGGAAACATTTTATAAATCGAATTAATGTGATCATTTTAGTACATTTTCCTATACATAGGGAAGAAGAGATTACCGTAGGCGGCACGCAGAGACCCGGTACGGATTTACTTTTTCATTTTGATGTCCCCTGAGGCCAAATAACGATTCGTTCAAATTGTATGTATGTGTTCAGTAATAATTATTATAATCAGCCATTACTTTTCTTTTAAACACTCTTTGATTTCAATTAGTTCATATAAATTTGTTACGATGTTTAATTATTAACAATGTCCATTTCTCAGTTTAAATGTTGCTTTCATAAAATACCGTTCAACAATTGTTTCAATCTGTTATTTCTTTTATCCTTACCTAAAATACAGTCCACTTATTAATTATCACAAGGAATGCTAAAACTGGTTTTAAATAGTTTTTCTCCGATATTTTTACTTAAGGGTAATTTTTATTACAGCCATCGTGTAGAACTGAAACACTATCTATGTTGCTTTGGAAACATTGTTTGTATTATTATACAAATAATTATAATTAATTATAACTAACAACAGTTACTTAACTGTTACTGAAAAAAAACTGCGCATTTAAAATTCTTACGCTATTCTTATTGAGAAAAACTGTTGTAGTTTGCTCGGTTTTGGATGCATTTTGATACAATTTGGCGAATTTATCTATTTCATGCAATACTATTCCCTTGTTTATAGAAATATCTTAGAAAAAATTCTTTAATCAGATTCATTTCTCTCATTGACTCGAATCCATGTTGTCTAAACTATTTTGGTGAAGAAAAAATTAACAGATCAAAGGCACCTTTTAGAAATCGTGAATTCATAATAAAATGGTTTATTATTTAAAGACTTTGAACTTATTTACCGTAGGTTTCTAAAAAATTGTAGGATGTAGGATTACATAGATCATATATCAAAATATGCATTAGGCTATTTAAAATTAACCTTAAATTAAATTAGAACTTTTCATATGTTGTGCTAGTAATTTTTCAAGATAGTAAAGTAAAAGACATGTTTAAAATATATGTGGTACAAGTGACACCATTGCTTGTTAAGAGTTTCCTTTAATATAAAAATCCATACATATCATATTCATTTATTGTATTTAACGGAATTGAACGGTGCATCACAATATTTATACTGTTACTTATAAAAATTGAACACAAATACAATAAAATCTTATGTGTGGATTTTTTCAGAAAACCAAATGGAGGAGCCGCGGATAACTTTTCGCAAGCCCGAGTACACCGTAGGTGACTGGCTACAGGTCAACTGTACTTCCGCCTCTGCTAGACCCACCCCTGACGTCACGTGGCTGATAAATGGGAAAAAGGTGACAACTTACGCTAATTTGGAGTAAAATATAGGATAAAAGGGAGAAAGGCGACGATTCACCCTACTTTGGGGTAAAGTATGGGATAAAAAGGAGAAAGGTGACGATTCACATTACTTTGGGATAGAATATAGGATAAAAGGGAAAATTTTGTGAACTCACCCTACTTGGGAGTGGAAAATGGGGAAATGGTAAGTAACAACTCACCCTACATTTAAGTAGAATATAGGATAAATAGGGAAATGGCGGCAACTCATTCTACATTGGGGGAGAATATGGGAGAAATGGGGAAATGGTGGCAAATAACCCTAAATTGGGGGAGAAATGACAGCAACTCACCCTACATTGGGATAGAATATGGGAGAAATGGGGAAATGGCGGCAAATAACCCTACATTGGGGGAGAATATGGGAGAAATGGCAGCAACTCACCCTACATTGGGGGAGAATATGGGAGAAATGGCGGCAACTAACCCTACATTGGGGGAGAAATTGCAGCAACTCACCCTACATTGGGGGAGAATATGGGAGAAATGGCAGCAACTCACCCTACATTGGGAGAGAATATGGGAGAAATGGGGAAATGGCGGCAACTAACCCTACATTGGGGGAGAATATGGGAGAAATGGCAGAAACTCACCCTACATTGGGGAAGAATATGGGAGAAATGGGGAAATGGTGGCAACTAACCCTACATTGGGGGAGAATATGGGAGAAATGAGGAAATGGTGACAACTCACCTTACTTTGGGGTAAATTATGGGAAAAACAGGAAAAGGTGACAACTCACTCTACTACTATGGGGTAAGTTATGGGATAAACGAAAAAAATCACAACCTACTCTGCTTTGGGGTGGATTTTGGAATGAACGAGAAATAAGTGACAAATCACCCTACTTCGAGGTATATTTTGGTAAAAAAATAGGGCTCTTACTGACTACAACTTACTTGTAAGCAATTGTTGTTGGGTTACATCTAAACCCACAATTCGACTAATTCATTTAACCTAATAAGAGTAGTTCATCACACCTTTCTTCATGATATAAACTTATGCCTGGTTTTATTTTGGGAACTATTTAGTGACATAATAATAGAATTTGGTGTTTGTATAAACGGATTCTTACATTAAATTTACTGGCTTATTAAATTAAGAAAATGTATAACGATTTTCCATATCTAATTCTCATATAACCTTTTAACTAAAAACTATTTCTCTAATTCAGGACGTCTCTATAAAGTATATAAAACACAATTTTTGAAGCGATTAAATATTATTTGAGTTTATCTTTTAAACTGAGCAATTTGTTCCGATTTATAATCATAGATCTAGATTCAATAATATACACTTGAATTAATACAAAATAAAAAAATCTATTTATAGTAGTTACTGGACATTTAATTAACAATGCATATACATGATTTTACAATCCTCTTTTGGATCACATAATATAGTCAAAAATTTGAAAACCTTGCGCTACGATAAAACAGTATTAGCTTATAAACTAGTACTCAGAACTTGAGTAAATTTTACTATAAAAATATTGAACTTTTGTCCAATTTAAAGTTTTTAAACAAATACTTTTAAGTACTTTAACAAAAAATCCCTCATCTATAAATAACCCAACGGATATTATCCATTTATTAATGTATCTAAGTTTTTTTCAAAGCGCTAATGTTGAGTAAATATAAAACATTTATTACCAAATGAATAAAAGTACATTATAATTAATTAGTAGTACCATGTATAAACAATGAAAGAGTCGTGGGATATTTTAAATTCTCTAGGTACAATTTCCCTAACAAATTAAACGATTTTTGAATTATCTTTTGCTAATAAAGGTTGACGAAGCACTAATAAGATCGTTCACGGACCAAGTACCATCCACGGTGACAGCCCAGCTGACTCTACAGCTGACAGAGGAACATGTGGACGGCATTGAGCTGACCTGCCTGGCGACCATACCCAAGTATCTGGGCAACGAGGTCCATCAGAGCGAGTACGCCGACCACAAGGCGCAGTCAGTCAAAGGTAAGTGAATATAACACAGTAGAGGTAATTCATCAACTATATTCATACCCAAGTATCTGGGCAACGAGGTCCATCAGAGTGAGTACGCCGACCACAAAGCGCAGTCAGTCAAAGGTAAGTGAATATTACACAGTAGAGGTAATTCATCAACTATATTCATACCCAAGTATCTGGGCAACGAGGTCCATCAGAGCGAGTACGCCGACCACAAAGCGCAGTCAGTCAAAGGTAAGTGAATATTACACAGTAGAGGTAATTCATCAACTATATTCATACCCAAGTATCTGGGCAACGAGGTCCATCAGAGCGAGTACGCCGACCACAAAGCGCAGTCAGTCAAAGGTAAGTGAATATTACACAGTAGAGGTAATTCATCAACTATATTCATACCCAAGTATCTGGGCAACGAGGTCCATCAGAGTGAGTACGCCGACCACAAAGCGCAGTCAGTCAAAGGTAAGTGAATATTACACAGTAGAGGTAATTCATCAACTATATTCATACCCAAGTATCTGGGCAACGAGGTCCATCAGAGTGAGTACGCCGACCACAAAGCGCAGTCAGTCAAAGGTAAGTGAATATTACACAGTAGAGGTAATTCATCAACTATATTCATACCCAAGTATCTGGGCAACGAGGTCCATCAGAGTGAGTACGCCGACCACAAAGCGCAGTCAGTCAAAGGTAAGTGAATATTACACAGTAGAGGTAATTCATCAACTATATTCATACCCAAGTATATGGGCAACGAGGTCCATCAGAGTGAGTACGCCGACCACAAAGCGCAGTCAGTCAAAGGTAAGTGAATATTACACAGTAGAGGTAATTCATCAACTATATTCATACCCAAGTATCTGGGCAACGAGGTCCATCAGAGTGAGTACGCCGACCACAAAGCGCAGTCAGTCAAAGGTAAGTGAATATTACACAGTAGAGGTAATTCATCAACTATATTCATACCCAAGTATCTGGGCAACGAGGTCCATCAGAGCGAGTACGCCGACCACAAGGCGCAGTCAGTCAAAGGTAAGTGAATATAACACAGTAGAGGTAATTCATCAACTATATTCATACCCAAGTATCTGGGCAACGAGGTCCATCAGAGTGAGTACGCCGACCACAAAGCGCAGTCAGTCAAAGGTAAGTGAATATTACACAGTAGAGGTAATTCATCAACTATATTCATACCCAAGTATCTGGGCAACGAGGTCCATCAGAGTGAGTACGCCGACCACAAAGCGCAGTCAGTCAAAGGTAAGTGAATATTACACAGTAGAGGTAATTCATCAACTATATTCATACCCAAGTATCTGGGCAACGAGGTCCATCAGAGTGAGTACGCCGACCACAAAGCGCAGTCAGTCAAAGGTAAGTGAATATTACACAGTAGAGGTAATTCATCAACTATATTCATACCCAAGAATCTGGGCAACGAGGTCCATCAGAGTGAGTACGCCGACCACAAAGCGCAGTCAGTCAAAGGTAAGTGAATATTACACAGTAGAGGTAATTCATCAACTATATTCATATCCAAGTATCTGGGCAACGAGGTCCATCAGAGTGAGTACGCCGACCACAAGGCGCAGTCAGTCAAAGGTAAGTGAATATAACACAGTAGAGGTAATTCATCAACTATATTCATACCCAAGTATCTGGGCAACGAGGTCCATCAGAGCGAGTACGCCGACCACAAGGCGCAGTCAGTCAAAGGTAAGTGAATATTACACAGTAGAGGTAATTCATCAACTATATTCATACCCAAGTATCTGGGCAACGAGGTCCATCAGAGTGAGTACGCCGACCACAAAGCGCAGTCAGTCAAAGGTAAGTGGATATAACACAGTAGAGGTAATTCATCAACTATATTCATACCCAAGTATCTGGGCAACGAGGTCCATCAGAGCGAGTACGCGTACCACAAGGCGCAGTCAGTCAAAGGTAAGTGGATATAACACAGTAGAGGTAATTCATCAACTATATTCATACCCAAGTATATGGGCAACGAGGTCCATCAGAGTGAGTACGCCGACCACAAGGCGCAGTCAGTCAAAGGTAAGTGGATATAACACAGTAGAGGTAATTCATCAACTATATTCATACCCAAGTATCTGGGCAACGAGGTCCATCAGAGTGAGTACGCCGACCACAAAGCGCAGTCAGTCAAAGGTAAGTGAATATAACACAGTAGAGGTAATTCATCAACTATATTCATACCCAAGTCAAAGGTAAGTGAATATTACACAGTAGAGGTCATTCATCAACTATATTCATACCCAAGTATCTGGGCAACGAGGTCCATCAGAGTGAGTACGCCGACCACAAGGCGCAGTCAGTCAAAGGTAAGTGGATATAACACAGTAGAGGTAATTCATCAACTATATTCATACCCAAGTATCTGGGCAACGAGGTCCATCAGAGTGAGTACGCCGACCACAAGGCGCAGTCAGTCAAAGGTAAGTGAATATTACACAGTAGAGGTAATTCATCAACTATATTCATACCCAAGTATCTGGGCAACGAGGTCCATCAGAGTGAGTACGCCGACCACAAAGCGCAGTCAGTCAAAGGTAAGTGGATATAACACAGTAGAGGTAATTATATAACTATATTTATACCCAAGTATCTGGGCAACGAGGTCCATCAGAGCGAGTACGCCGACCACAAGGCGCAGTCAGTCAAAGGTAAGTGAATATTACACAGTAGAGGTAATTCATCAACTATATTCATACCCAAGTATCTGGGCAACGAGGACAATCAGAGTGAGTACGCCGACCACAAAGCGCAGTCAGTCAAAGGTAAGTGGATATAACACAGTAGAGGTAATTCATCAACTATATTCATACCCAAGTATCTGGGCAACGAGGTCCATCAGAGCGAGTACGCGTACCACAAGGCGCAGTCAGTCAAAGGTAAGTGGATATAACACAGTAGAGGTAATTCATCAACCATATTCATACCCAAGTATATGGGCAACGAGGTCCATCAGAGTGAGTACGCCGACCACAAGGCGCAGTCAGTCAAAGGTAAGTGGATATAACACAGTAGAGGTAATTCATCAACTATATTCATACCCAAGTATCTGGGCAACGAGGTCCATCAGAGTGAGTACGCCGACCACAAGGCGCAGTCAGTCAAGGGTAAGTGAATATAACACAGTAGAGGTAATTCATCAACTATATTCATACCCAAGTATCTGGGCAACGAGGTCCATCAGAGTGAGTACGCCGACCACAAGGCGCAGTCAGTCAAAGGTAAGTGGATATAACACAGTAGAGGTAATTCATCAACTATATTCATACCCAAGTATCTGGGCAACGAGGTCCATCAGAGTGAGTACGCCGACCACAAGGCGCAGTCAGTCAAAGGTAAGTGGATATAACACAGTAGAGGTAATTCATCAACGATATTTATACCCAAGTATCTGGACAACGAGGTCCATCAGAGCGAGTACGCCGACCACAAGGCACAGTCAGTCAAAGGTAAGTGAATATAACACAGTAGAGGTAATTCATCAACTATATTTATACCCAAGTATCTGGACAACGAGGTCCATCAGAGCGAGTACGCCGACCACAAGGCACAGTCAGTCAAAGGTAAGTGAATATAACACAGTAGAGGTAATTCATCAACGATATTTATACCCAAGTATCTGGGCAACGAGGTCCATCAGAGCGAGTACGCCGACCACAAGGCACAGTCAGTCAAAGGTAAGTGGATATAACACAGTAGAGGTAATTCATCAACTATATTTATACCCAAGTATCTGGACAACGAGGTCCATCAGAGCGAGTACGCCGACCACAAGGCACAGTCAGTCAAAGGTAAGTGGATGTCAAAGTACATTAATTACATTAATTCCCATGTATCTAATACATTGAAGCAAATCAGAACGTAATATAGTTTATAAATAGTAATCTAATTCAATATTAGGGTTAGGAGATATACTAAAACAAGTACCTCGAAGTCAAGTATAGATATGAAGGTATCGACCTCACTCACTTATATAGTCAATGCTCATATGTATCAATTTTTAATATCGGGGAAAATCAATTAATTGCCAGGAAAACATTAGTTAATACATCATTTATGGCGTTTTTACTGCTTAAATAACCCCTATGGTCTGGTAGATCTCATGCTCGGTTTAGAGGTGGAAGTTAATCACTGATGTTTGGGACACAATCAGATTGAACGCTGATTGGAGTTTCGCCAAACCACATAACACAGCTCGGGCACGACTTTAACTCAAACTCACGTCCGTGTTCAATGAAAATTCAATGATACTTAAACTCTGTTCCGGGCATTTTAACGAACAGACTTTAATTTTTGGCACGTATTTAATTTACACATTTCTAAACATGCTTTTTGTACCACAATTGGTATCTGTACAGCTGATGTGAGCAGTATTGTCTCAAAGCTGCCTGCTTTGTAAAAATGTTTTTGGAATCAAGTAGACCTAACCTTTTAGTTTAGTATATCTTGATCAATGTTAATAGAAATTGCAATAGTTTATAGAAGTTCACATAATTAATTTATATGGGTAGGTAAAAGAGAAAATTGCATCCACAGGGAAATTATAATACAGGATATAAGAGCTCATACTAATAGATAGCTAATGGCAAGTAATTATGTAATTAAAGTAATTAAATGGAAAGAATGGTAAATCGTCTCTTAACTAGCAATGGTTTAATTAAGACCCATAGTTACTTCAGGGTATAAGTAGACTAGTAGCCACAAAAGATCCATGAATGTGAATTAAAGTCCCCTTTAACATGGGCTAAGTCATATTTAACACTCTCTTTCCGATTAGAACTTATTAATCCTAACCTTAACTGGATTAACCGTTACGGTTGAATACCCATTCATGTTCCTATTGTAATCGGATCCTAGATATTCAATAACAATTCAACTGTTAAACACAAACTATTGATTATGTTCAATTATTGAAGAAAATATTAATTATTGAATTTGTTTCCATTTTGTAACATACATATAGATTTAGACTGAAGTATCTTTAAAATAACCACACACTTGTTTACAATGTAATCTGAAGTAAACACAGTTTAGTACCACTTTGACTTTTGGATTTTTAATAGAAATTTAATAAACGAACTATAGTCGACATGTGCAAAGAAGTTCAACATAGGACGGGATGCTAAAATACAGCTAGGGAAAAACTGAAAACTCAGGGTTGAATTATGCACAACAACTATTGCTATGATTGTATCTTTCATTTTCCTAATATCCATAGGAGTTTGAGATGGAAGTACCAAAATTCCAGGTTGGTTCAAAGAAACTTGTCTTTTGAATCCTTAATTTATTATACTTTTTCAAGTCATTGTGCAGATCTATAGCAGTTTACGCAACGATCGTGTAAAGATAGTGCTAACGAATCGAGTAGAAATTTAAGGTACGAGCCTTGGTGAGTGTTATGTTGAGGTTATGTTTTCCGATTTCGTTTATGACCTCGTGTATCATTGACAATGATACAACTACTCATTGTACCCACCACTAATTTCACCACTCATCCACAATTAAACAACTGAGCCAGTCTTAACAACTGATTAGTTGAAGTTCGAAGCGTTACAATTTTACTTTTTTCTCCCAATCGTTGAATCTCATTGGTCCGTTCCTCTTGTTGTTACGTAAAACTATGCTGTTAAGAGGATCTTTTCAACTCTAAGAACATATCTGAAACGGCTAGTTAAAAAAACGGACGTAGGTAAAATCTTAAGAATTTTAGGGCTGTCAAATAAAAAAAAACTGATAAATCTGTTCACAGTTGACGTTGTGCTGATACAGCAGAAAGCATCAACAATGGAGCAGAAGATCAGCAGTACTAAAGACCTGAGAAGCAGCGTCAGTAACATACTTCTTCTGCTCATAGCAGCAGCCTGGTTAGCTCATTGAAGCTATCAGAACCTGCGTACATACATGTACATACCATTTATGGTGCTTTCAGGGTTTGACTTATCTTTACTGATCGTTTTATTGGTTTGTGTGTTACCGTTTAATCTTATGAATGTTTTACTTCTTAAATGGGCTTTAACGAGAAGTTGTGTTCAAATTGATGTGTCCATAAACAAAACAGTTTATTTATTTCACTCATGGTCAATACTATATTATTCCATATTAGTGCTGTAAAAAATATCAAGATGTTATTTATTAAAATGTTTAAGAAATGTAATTGAAACAACGATTTCAATTCATTCAATACGTACAGTTCACCAATCATTATTAATTAAGGTTACTGTATGTCTGGATAAACTGTGTACAGCTTGCACAGTCACTGGTTTATTTTATAATAACATCTTAACTTTTTATCTGTATAGCATGTTGTTGTTATTTGAGAGTTTTCTTCTATTTTTTACGTTAGGAAACAGTATCGAAGTCTGAAAGCTCCGTATCTATGCATATCATTTAGTGTTTAAGGGCTAATCTTTCCTCTCTGTCAATTGAAAAATGTAAATCCACAAAAATGTTTTATAATGATGTATATATTTTTCGAAATAGGCCTAACTAACGCCTATAGTATATGTAAAAACAGTGCTAATATTTTATGTTCTGTGCTTACTAAAGGGCAATAATTTTCCAAATGTTTTTCCGTAACATTAACTTTCGGTTAATACCATATCACTTGCATCTCAAATAAACAGTTAACTTATTAATTATTAGATTTAACATTATATTATTGTAATATATGTGTATTTTAAAATTAGTTTTCTTGTTAGTTTCAAAAAAGAATTTTTATGATAAGTTCGATCTTGAGGGTATACATGTTTTCATTCAATTAAGTTTTATCATAAACATAATTAATGATACTTCCTTTTGGATTTGTCATCCTAGTGGATCATCTAAAGAAAATGAAGGTGTGATTCTGCCTGTTACATTTGGAGTTCGATTAGATGTTTTACATTTTGTTTCTCATACTTCCAGAACCTTATAAATAGTTTAACTTTTGTATGTGTATTTTAACCATATTTTCATAAAATGATGCTTGTATTTACGAATAGCATCAAAAGAGCAAAGCGAATAATGTAAATGTTACTCTAAAAATACGAAAATGATTATCTTGTCATGATCGCACTGGATTGTAACTGGACATGAAATATATATTAACCAAGCTCCACAACGGAACGAGAAGTCTACTTAAAGCATCCTAAAGGCCCGTTTTGCCAGAAGCGTTTCGTGCGTCTGACGCTCAGCGTCTATCGCTCCGCGTCAATCGCTGCCCACTGCTTTGCATTGTTTTAGGTTAGTCTATTTTGCCAGAAGCGTCTATCGCTACAGCCGCCAGCGTCTGTAACTGAGACGCTAGCGTCTGACGCGGACCACTGCTCCTGGAGCAGACGGAGA